TGACAGGGTTTCTTCGGAATAAAATGCCGTAACCCTAACTCCCACCAGCGAGGTAGTACGGGTACCACAAAGCCCAGGGAACTTGTTTTTAGGTATTTTCCACAAAATTTTTAGATGGGAGTGAAAAAAAACAAAGTTACCGAAAATAAGCACCCTAGTATATACATATGTATGTATATGTATATCGCAGTGAACGTCGGACCATGGCACAACGATTGTACAACAAACCAAAGCGAAAACAACAACGACCAACAGCAATTTATCCGCAGTAATAATTCACTCTGCAATATGTGATATGGAGTAGGAGAAGGATTTGATTCCAATGAGTGGAAATGTTGCAAATTGAATTGTTAGCTTTTATAAATATGTATGAATGGCCGGGCACACATATGTATGTCTGTATTTATGTATTTATATAAAAAAATGTGGCATTTGCTTCAAAGGCTTTGCTGCGAGTTTGCAATTTTTTTTACCAAATCTGCATATGTACATATGTTAGTGTGTATGTATGAAACATGTATGTTAGTATATAAAGCTGCGGTCAAAATAATAGCACCAAAATTCAAAATGATATTGTTTTCAGTGCTATTTATTTATTTTTAATAAATTTAATTTAAAATATTTTTCGACCTGTATCAGAAACCAGGAACCATCAAATGTATTTAAATAATAAATAAATATTTAAAGACTCCATATCCTTGGACATTTTTTTCATAAACTGAAGGCAAGCAAACCATGATACGTCTCACAGACCTATGGTTATCTCTTCTCAGCAAGTTTCAGCAGGGTTAGATATTTTTTTGGTTTCCCTTTCTGGGAGCCTTTTTTCAGAGCATACAGTCAAATATAATAGTCGAAAAAATTAGACTCGCACTAATGTATGTATGTAACATTTATCGATTTCGCTATGCTCCCACCAGTTAAACACATTCAAGTACCATTTATGCCCAAACCCATGGCAAACCCACACAGATGAATTAATTTATGACTTATTCAATATGGCGCTTCATCCCTCGTTTTCGCAGTAATTCACAATTGTAAGTTTATGTTGGTTAACCTTCTTAAATGCGCAAACTCCAAATGTGTGGTGAGAGAACAGTGTGGAAATCTGCAGTCAGCAAATGTGATATTTACAGTAATCAAATAATTGTGCCTGTCACCGTTACGCTCATCAACATTTCTCTATTTAATTTAATTAACATTTAAAAGTGATAGTAATTTCAAAAATCATAATATTCTCCGGCATGTAAGCTAACCTTGCCGCTTCCTTGCCACAAGAAATTGTTACTCATACTTATGTAACTGCATTTGAATACGAATACAGAGCGTAGCAATCAACAGTCATATCCTTGCGGCAGCTGAGTTGTGTGGGAGTATCTAATGTATGTAGATATAACTAATATATGTACATTATTCAATGCCTATCCCAGCAAACATTTGGAGTCATAAATGAGTCTTTAAGGAGTCCTATTTCGGAGCCATTACGCTCATTACGAGCTCATTTAAGAGTCCGATATGAGGGTGTTTCCCTTCCTCCGAAGGTCGACTTATTTGAGCATAAATTCATACATAAAATGAGCCTCAGTATGAGTCATATTCGACTCTTATTGGCCTCATATACGGCTCATTTTTGGCCTCATATATGAATCATTTCAGACTCTTTTTAGGGGTCTTATCGGCCTCATAAATTACTATGTACATTCCGACTCTTATTTTAGGTTGTTCTTTGAGTCTTATTGAACGCACTATATTTTTGCAAAGGCATTCAGAAAAATTCCTTTCAGATAACATATACACATTCTTACGTGCATAAACAGATTCCAACATGCATTCATTAGCAGCAGCTGCAGCTAAATTTTATTAATTTTTTTGTTTTCTAATTATTTTCAATTTCTGTATAAACAAGTTTAGATATAAATTTCAAATCTTTATTGTTTTTATATTGGCACAAGGTGCTGGCTCATAACTTGGATCATATATGAATCCTAAAAGATGCATATAAGAGTAAACAATTTTTTGTTTTTGAAACTCATATCTTTTACCTACCTAGGACTCCTTTCGGACTCATATATTCTGAACGCTCAGAATATGTTTGCGGGGATGTTTCATTATACGTATGCATATGTATTTACAAACATATGTACGTGTTTATGAGTGTATGTATGTATGTATGTATGTGCATACGTTAACGAGTTTTGAATTTGTCTACCGTTTAAATATTCATTACTAAACTGTCATTGCTTCAATAACTACAAAAACAACAGCGATAGGTCGGTAAATAGATATATATAAATAGACAAATGCATACTGATTTAGCGTAATTGCTTTCTAAATATTGTAGTCCATGCTATCATATGTGTATATGTATGTATGTATGTACTTACATGCATACATATAAATAGGTACAAATTATCCATTTCATTTATGCAAGACCATTTCGTTTTGATTGCATCTTAATTGAAAATACTTATGTATGCAGCATTTAACCACATTTGATGCAAATATTTAAGCATGCCAAATAAAGAAGCCTAAAGATTGAAGATGAAGCTGAAGATGAAGGTGAAAATTCAGTTTAACATTAAATTTACGATAAAGAATGAGATTAGGACAACAAGCACTAAGACAAATACAAACACGAAGAGAAAGATAAAGACAAATATGAAGACAGAAACAAAGAAAACAAGTAAGAAAATCTAAGTTCGGGCGGAGCCGAACATTAAATACCCGGCGCAAGTATTAAATATATGTTTTTTTCACCTTTCCGAAACCTTCCGCTAGATGGTAAGCCGGGGTGTATCAATTTTGAGTAAATTAGCGTCCTTCAATTTCGAAATATTGAAGTTTCAAGCATTTCTGAAATTTACCGTTATATGAGAAGCGGCCGTTATTTTAGTCCGATTTCAATAATTTTCAACGTTTTGCTTACACGTGGCAAGTGCAATAACCATACCGAGTTTGGTACAAAATGGTAGAACGGTTACCGATATACATATATGTGATCACAAGTGGGCGGTGCTACGCCCATTTTCCAAAATTTTGTCATAAACGTATTTCCTGGTAAAGAATTGTTGCAACCATCAATTTTGAATAAATTAGCTTCAATATTTACTGATTTATCGAAGATTTTGTATTTCTCGAAATTACCGTTATATGGGATGTGGGTGTAGTTATTGTCCGATTTTAGAAATTTTCGGCCATTTGGTATGTTGTGCGAAGACCAACAACTGTGCCAAGTTTGGAAGAAATTGGTGCAGCGGTTACCAAGATATACACATGTAACCATAAGTGGGCGTGGCTACAAACAACCGTTATGTGAACAAAATTAATATACCCTTGTGCACAAGTGCGCTCGGGTATAAAAATAGAGATAAACAGAAAGGCCAAGTTTACAGAAAAGATAAAAATGAATTAATGAATAATTTTACCCCCTTTTTTATTTTTCCTTATCCTTGCGCGTTATTTTTTTCCGAATCGTTGAACCGATCGAAACCCCGGTTCAAAGACCATAAACATCGCTTTGATGAACCAATCCAATAGTGCAAAAACGGTTCAAACCTCTGAACCGAACCGACCAAATTTTTCATCCAGTTCACGTCCCTGTTTTATATAATTTTATGATGATTACGTAACTTCACCCAGTTTTCACCTGTGTATTGTTAGATGTATAACTTAAAATATAGGAAGAAAAAAATTACAAAGTTGCCACTTGTTTGAAAATTGCAGTTTAAGTAAAGTAAATATTGCAATATGGTTGTCAAAAAGAAGATGCTTAAGAATTCTTACAACCAAAAATGTTTTTCTTGAAGGTTGCCATCTGTTTGAAAATTTTAATTTAATTTAATTGATAAGGTTAATTGAATAATGCAATATGGGAGGTTCAGGAAAGTTTACTGCCGGGAATATGTTTTAGGAGAGTTGCCACCAGTTTGAAAAAGTTGATTCCATTAAATTGATAAAATAAATGAAATGTTACAATACGGGTATCAAACAGCACAAAAATACTATTAAGGCGCAGTGGAGCTCGCCGGGCTTTTGCTAGTAAAAAATAAGAACAAAGCTTTTTCAAAAAAAAAATTCAAACTAAATATATAGATACATACATCGCACACCATCTTTAAAAGGGGTTGAAGTTGAAGTGGTAGGGAATTTTCATGGATTATTGTAGAATTTGTTGATAAATATCAATGCCCAATATATCATGAAATTTTGCGATTTGGTGTACCAGAAATTGAGTTTCCTACATTTACGTTGTTTTTTTTTGTAGATCTTTTTATTTAAGAGATAGGGACTAAAAGAAACGAGAATTGCATGAAAAAATTGGGTTTAGTGTCTCGTACTACCTCGCTGGTGGGTGTTAGGCTTACGCCGCAATGGACACTTATGGAGCATTTAATTCTGAAGAAACCCTGACATTGACCAAGATTATACCATAAAATATATAATATATAATATTAAGTGCTAAAATTTTCAGGAAACTTTTTTTAGATACTTCCCACAAAATTTCGAGGTCGGAGCTACCCTAGTACATATCTACATGCACTAAAGAAGAATATCTAGAAACATCATTAATTTCCTTTCGGTAAAATTCATTCTAGTCATATCACTAGCAAGAGCTAACTTTAGTTTATAGTAGCACGAATCTGCACATCTTCTTATTTTTACCCAAAGATAGCTTTACATATATCACGATTAGAGTACATATTGCAGGTCCTCTGCAATAACGATACAACTCAAGAATCTCTAATTTTTCTATAATCCATGCCTAATACTTGCTACTTTTTTAAGACATGAATTATACAAGGATTATAGACAAGAAGCCCTTAGCCGTAGCAAGGTTTTTTATTTTTTGAATTGTGTCTTTACTTCAGAGGACTATAAGTTTATATTCGTTTAACTAAAGTACTTATTTACTGGTTATAAATCCACTTAAATAAATTTCATAATACTTCTTTTTCTACAAACACAAGTCCATTAATTTGTACCTTCTCTTTTTTTTACAGACGTCAAACGGCCGAGGAACGTGAAGCTGAACGTCAAGCGGCCAATCGTCTAATGTTATCCCTGCAGGCAGAGGCAATTAGCAAAGGATTTGCTCCACCGCCAGCAGCGCCGCTTTCTACACAACAAGTGAATGGCGCCCCTTTGGCGGCTCTCCATGGACTTCAGCCCTGGGCTGAGACACATGCGGCTGGCTGCTAATCCTTTACATTGCCGCGTACCGCCGCCGAAATGTTAATGGTGGACAAAATGTGAAAGTGCAGTAAAGTTCATTTGTGATATGCTTTGTACATATAGGAAAATCTAATACATAACATAACTACTTTATACAACAAAAAATAAAAATAAAAATAATAAAAAAAAACGAATTCATCTCAAATATATGTATAAGCGATTGGGCTTGATAGCTTATTTGTAAGCAAATAAGAATGTTTTGCAATGAAAGTTAAATTCACGAGCCAAAAAAAACAAATTGTCACTGAAGAATAGCGAAATAGCTGAACGAATTGTAATTTCCAACAAAACTTTTGTTTGCGCTTTCAGTTTTTTTAATAGCTTTGGTATGTCTTAAGTTTATGGGGCAAAGTTGATAAAGGAATTCTGGTAATGATTTTTCGCACAGATTCGACGGATTTCCAAGTTTTTTTATAACATTTTTTTTAAATTGTATAGAAGACCTTTTTTACTAAAAAAATTTATGAGATTATTTCAACTAAAATAAAAGTTATTTCAAATCTTCAGTGGCAAAACTGCAGTTAAAGTTAAAAGGCTTCGATGCTATTCATTTGAAATATGTATATATATAAGCTATAGAATAATACTTGTAAACAGTATGCTGCTTACATTTCATATTTGATAAACTTCGAATCAGTTGAAAGGGTCAAAGTGGCATGCCAATGGCTATTGCTTAAAATCTGCTCCCTAAAAGCTATACAGCTTGGTAGGCAAAACAATTATAAAGACTCATTTGTTGTCTAACTAAATGAAAAAAGGAATATGTATTTCCTCTTTTTCTTTTAAGGACTGTAACCGCCTAACCGATTTTGGGCGTGGTCATCCAAAGTTTTGTTTTCATTATCATTGGAGTTTATTTTCCCTAAACCAAATTTTGAATCCCAGACACATACTTTCATATTTTACACATTTATATAGTTAGCCGCTTTCTCCAAGACAAACACTCGCTCTCCGGCTTACAGATGTACAGACTCTTTTTACATCGGAAAGGTAGTATCTCAGCGGTGGTCCCATCACTAATCTGGTTTAGATCTATTTTTTTTTTAGATTTTTATATGAGAATTGCAGTCGGTTTTGCTTTTTCCTTAAAAATTACTTGTTATAATGTATTAATGTTTAACTCCCATACAACTGATTGTTCAGAGACGAGATTTTGCTTTAGAACTTCTCAACTAATAACTCGAAATTTTTCACTCTTTTCACTTTTAATGTACTCAGAGTTTAACTTATAGCCAGGGACGGCCAGAGATAATCTGGGTCCAGTACTAAATATGTCTATAACAGTCCTATTTATTGTAAAGAGACTGTTGTAAGTATTAAAGCTCGGAACACTTTGACGACTGCAACTTCACGACGTAACGACAGCGACATCATTTTGTCGACAAATGTCGCCTTGAAGCCAGCTTCTTAAACATTTTGAAGACCTCAGCGACATAGCAAACAGCTGATTTTAAAGTTTGACATTTTGGTATATTTATTTCACAAATTGTGTATTTTTATTTAAGTAAATAAGAAAAACATGAACAATCAAGAATATGTGATTAATTTTGCGACAATTTAATTTTGCAGCACTACATCTACTCATTGTCGCCGGCAAAATTAGAAATAGATTTAATTTGGCGACGCCGACAATTGCAGTCCTGCAGCCAAGATGTCGTGCTGTCGTCAAAATAATTGTGTCCGTAAGAACGTGTGTATTTAAAATTTGACAGATGCTGCTTGTCGCTTGCTGTCGTCAAAGTGTTCCGAGCTTAACTTGGAGTAAGTTAGTGTCATCAGTTTTTGAAATGCTAGAGTTTTCGTATACTTAAAATTTACCATTATATGGGAAGGGGGTGCAATTTTAGTCCAATTTGAATAATTTTCAACAAATCGCTTTTCCGTACCAAAATTATTAGGTGCACTAAGTTTGGTTGAATTTGATGAATCGGTTACCAAGACACACATTTGTGGTCATAAGTGGGCGGCGCCCCGCCCATTATCCAAAAATTTATAATAATCAAATTGTTTGCTATGTGATTACATATTGCAATCGTCAATTTTGAGTGATTTAGCTTCAAAAATCAACGTCAACTCTTAACTATTTATCTCAAACTTCCACTTTATTATACTAAAATTTAATAGGCTATAAAACTGCATAGGTGGTTGGTTGGTTGAAGTGGCTAGTTTAGCAACTCCAATTAGCACTAATGCGTGCCGTTTTAAAACCACTACTCACTATTTAACCGGAAAATAAAACTTGAAAAGAACCCAGCAGACGTCTGTTATTTCTCTCAAATCCAGCACGTTGGGTTCAAGAACTTAAGTAGTTGTACTGGATTGATATCATTCACATATGTCTGTTAAACCGCAGCAGCAAGGTTTGCCTAGCAACCGGATTCTAGAACCTCCTGTGTCTCTGAGATATCCAGAGTCGACCTGTTCCTAACTACGTAGCTCGTCGGCCATCTCAGTGCCATGAATTCTGCTGCGCCCCGGCACCCAGATCAATGCAACGACATGCCTATTAGCTAAAGCCATAAAACTACATACCAAGATTTTTTAAATTCTGATCAAAAAGTTTTAAAATTTGATGAAATTAGACGAGTTTTCCTATTTTTGGAAAATTGATTGGGCTACAAAGCTGCGTAGTCAAAAAGTTTGATGAAACTACAAAGTTTAAAATTAGGACTTGCATGGTTTTTGTCATAAAAAAATAATAAACAAAAGAAAATCAGCCAATACTTGTACAAATATGGCGCCCTTTTTTTATTTTCACCACTAATTATACCGTCAGAAAACAATGAAAAATTATTCTTTCTAATGTTATTTTTTACATGAAATATTTACTCTTTCAGGGGAGTTCGTCAACTATTACTGCTACTTTTACTTGTATTTATGATGGAATAAGTCCCTTAGTCTAGTCAGTAAAATCGAATATAAATACTGTTTGAAGTTTTCTCCGAAAATAATACGATGTTTCCACGATTCGTAATTCGCTCTCTAAGTAATTCGCTAAGTAATTCCTGAATTACTCTGTTTCCACGACACATTTGAAATTCGTTTGGCAGCTCTACTTCTTGTTCTTGTTCTTCGCTATTTATTATTATTTTTGTGTACAGAAAATATCGAAGATGGAGCAAAAATGTAGTTCATCAAAGATTTTAATTTACATAGAGAATATCTTATTAATTAGTTTTGCAAAGTCATTCCTATGGTAATTTGATCTGAATTACCTGCAAATAAGGTAATTCGCTCTCAAAATTTTGTATGGCGAATTCCGTAATTCGAAGGGTAATTGGATGGCGAATGACGAATGAGAGAGCGAACTAAGAAGCGTGGAAACGTAGTATAAATCACTTTTGCCACGTTGTGAATTGGCAGTATACACATATGTATTTTCATATACATACATATACATATAGTGCAATACCCATTGGTATGCCAATAAATATAACTAAAGATAATAATAATTGACACTATATTTAGATTAAAGCTTTTTCGACATTAGCGTGTGCTTAGAAACAAAAAAAATAAAAAATACAATCACTGAATTACTTGCGGCACTCTCTCTATAAAGAAGCTTGGAATATATATTTAAATTAGATTAGATTAATATTAAATTAAATTACAAAATATCGTGTATTTAAAAAATAAGCATAATATCAAGTTGCATTACTATAAAATAATAAATGTACAAACTTATGTAAATAACTGAAAAATCAAAAAGCTTCTAAATTTTCTAGTTTACTATAGATGGAACAAATCTGATGCTGGATTCAAATTAAACACACCAAAAAACCTTCGAAAGAGTATAACCTGGTCTTAGGGTCGGAAAAATGTAAGCTTGCATTATCCGTATAAAACCATATAATCTACGCAGTTGCCAATGGGCGGTATGAACCCATTCTGACGGTCCTATAAAGCTAATGCTACAACAATTTACATATCTGCGTATCTTAATCACCGTGTCGATTTTCGATACATTCACTAGTGATATTTTGAGTTGGTACGTTTAAGTATTGATCGAGACTCGCTACCGACTTAAAAAGTATTCAATTCTCGGATGGCTTCACCTAAGAAGGCCCACATAAATTATCTTCTATGCAATTCCTTTTTGGCGTTTTTGTTTTATTTCAATAGCATCGTAATTTTCTTTAAATCTCGTGAATTATTTTTTTTTTTACTAGTTATATATAAACGGTTTTTTGATTTTCCTCATCCACAAAGACAATTTCCTAACCGGTACCTCGAAAACTCATTATAATATCAATTATTTAGAAGAATTTCTCACATAATAAACTGCTGGCCAGCCAAAATCAATGACATCGAAAGGATTGCAATTTGTATACAAAATATCAAAAAGTACTTACCTTAACAAGTTGCATCAATCCCATGCGAACACCCCCGCCTTTACACGCATCACTTTGACCTCACCGTGAAAAGTGTGTTGATGAGTTGTATATTCTTGTGGCATCCATTTGTTTAGCACTCAATTGTTTGTTCCACAGTTTAAATAGTTTATTATATCCTTGTTTCCTTCCGAATGTGCTTTTGACTTCTTGCCGCGCTGCCTTGCAAAGCAAATCCCTAAGGACCTGTCGAAGCGAAGAGCACAACGATTAAATAAATAAGTAAGAAAAAATGCAAGAGGAAAAATTAAGCAGAGCCCTTGCAATTGACAAAACGGTGGAGAAATACATTTGAAATTGATGAACTTGTTACAAAAAAGCTACGCTTTGCTGGCGTGACGCTTGCAAAACACGTGTCGCACCGCTATCACTCGCTTTTAACATCCACCAGCAGGCTAAACCAACCTGCTACATAATCAAACTGTAAATTATGTATGTATCTGTGTGTGTATATGTGAGTAATTTTCACCCTTCGAATATATGTACATACATAAGTATTTATATTTATTAATTTTTCCTGCAATATGAACAATTATCCTGGCATGTCCTTGACTCGTTGAATGCGTGTTATGCTTCCAGTGTCTCGAAAAAAAAAACGTGATGCGCCGCGCTTAATTGAAAGGGCGTTTCTGTGCTGCTACCGTTACCATCACGCTGTTCGCCTACTTACAGACGAGTAAGTATAGAAGCGGGAAAATAAATAGGGATGCGACATTTTAAAAAGTTTTGGCTATTTTTATTTTGTTTATTTAATGTTTATTA